TAAAAATCTACATCCATAATTCTGACGTATTTGGGTCTTCTAAAAAATGCATCAGCCATTTCTAAAGTGTCAAGTCTTGCTCTCCCTGCCTCTTTTGCTACATGAGCATTTACTGCAGTGCAGGGCTGGCTGCATTCGTATACAGCCACAAGAGCCCCTGTTTTTCACCTCCAGTGAATGCAGCCTTCCTCAAGTCTTCTGCAATGGAATGATGTCGTTCCACCCCCTCTTACACACAGAAAAAATTGTTACGTCTTTTCTATGCCATCTTAGGAGCAGAGATCAGTTGAGGCAACAACTGTGCAGCTTTTAGGAAGTATGCTTTGGTTTAATCTGAGGAACGCCAATTGGAATTCCAAACTGCAACTCTCTGCATTCTACACCAAAAAATATGCAGAGCTAAATTGTAAACTTTCCTGAACAAAGTGATGAGTAAACTAAAAATTATTCTAATGGACACTTGGGAGTTTGAGTCATAGAGATCTAGCCACTGAAGTCAGATTCTTCTAATTTATTTTGTTTGTTCTTAACTCTTCTAATAGATTTAGACAGAAATTCCCAGACTACCCATACAAATGTAATCTTTAAAAATTGTTTTGCTTTTCCTTCTCAGAAATTTGCACTATTGTGCTTCCACTAATTCTCACATTCATGCATTCATCTTTTGAGTTTTCTTTCTTTTGGAGAGGAAGACAATTCTTTTCAAAATATGCTTTATCTTTTTGTACTAACACAGCAAATCTTTTAATCCTGACATATTCACCTTCATCATCCATAAGCAACATCTTAAGACAAGGCAGCAGTGCAGTCACAAGGGCAAGCTTTGGTTTAAACGTCTCTCTCTGTGTTTTCTCTCCCTAATTAATGGAAAAAGATATGCTTCTTTAAAAAGAGAGCTGGCAGCATCTAGCTTAGGTATGTGGAACTGGCTCAATACATTAGAAGGAATCTAATTTGTTTTCTCTGTTTAAAGAAGTCTACTTTTTTCCACTGGCTACAGAGGAAGCCTAGGGAGACAGTCTCATTAGGCAATTAATCTAATCTAAGTCTCATTAGGCAACTCAGTATTATTCCAGAGCAAAATTTTAAAAGGATCAATACAAATCTGACATTTGCTACAAGGAACTCACTTGTCTCTTTTTGCTGATACCATGCCTTTTTCAAAACTGATGACTGAACTAAACTCCCTGCATGTTGCCCACATCTTAGATCCTGGATGCCAGCCAGCGAGTGTATTACAGACAAGACCAGGGTGAAGATGCTAACGGTGCACTGCATCACAGCAGTGACTCAACAGAAACATTCTCACACAAGCATGTTCTTGCACCTGGAAATAACCCTTCTTGCTGCTGCTGCAAGCTCCACTAGCATTTACAACATGTTGTCTTCACCACAAGCACAAAGGAACTGGGCTCAATGAAAGAAACTAGTAAAACTAGTGAATCCAGTAAGAAGTCTTAAGAGGCCAGTGCAACCCCATAACCTCCAGAGCAGTTTCTGAATATATTAGAAGGATCAAGGGCCCAGAATCATCGTCATCTTGAGAACAGACACCAGATCACAAGGCCAAATCTGCAGAAATCTCTAGAAATGATACCAACACCTGGGTGTCGTATAGGAGTCCTTTTCCCCCAGGTATCCTTTCTCAAAGCCTTCTGCCAAGAAGCACCCATATTATCTGACGGCAAAGGAAGAAAGCTGTATTAAGCACAAACCTCCCTGCACTTAGACAGTCTGAAGGCCCTTCTTTATTATACTCCTGCTCTGCTGTCAACGCAGCAATAGAAAACTGACCAACTGTTTAGCAAAACAGCAAGAGGAGATGGGAGAGCAACTCCACTCCCATTCAGCTCCAACAATAGCTTTAGCACTAAAATTTATTGCAAAGCTCCAGTCATTGCCTCACTTTGATCACCCTGACAAATTAGGGTTCCGAGCTACATTTCCGAGCTACATTTTTGGCCATCTGCTCTGTTACACACTCCATCAACATATGGGGAAAAGTGAAAACCCCAACTTACTGAAAGCAGTTTGGTCCAAATACAGTGGCAAGATTGCAAAGGTTCATCCTGTTCTCTACATGATGTTCAGCAACCTTTATCAGGAACTGGCACAGATACTTCAGCAGGCAGTAATGAGCATCAGGCAGTTCTTTAAGGAGTTCTTTCAAGTTCCTCTCCTTCTGCATGTCATTTCTAGTGTCTAGGAAAAACAAGAGAAGAAAAAGCATATGTATATGGTTTTCTTCATCACTGCCAATTTACTTTACATGGGTGAGAAAGCAGCAGGATCTGAAACGTAGTCTTATTTCTGTTCAGAGACCCAGAATACTCCAAACTCCTCAATTTTCCTCAGGGAAGCTGCACCTTTCTCCTGAGGCTCACCTTGGCCACCCCTGTCACGCTTTCATGCTTGCCTGTACGTTGTAACTCTTTTCCTGAGCAGAATCAGCAGCAGTCCTAACCAACAGCATTGGAGCCTGTTTATTCCCACCTGGTACGCAGCTATATCTGCTTCAACTCCAGCTCTACCAGATCTCCTGCTTCCATGTTTCTTCTGGATGTTATCTCTACATCCCAAACCCTGTCTCATACTCTGTTTTAGTTTCCCCTACCATGAAAACCTTCAAAAACAAGAAAGCAAGAATAGTAAAACAAGGAGTCTCCTGAAATGCAGGTGTTGGACGAACAGTACTACAGTACTTTCTGTGGATGCGTTTTCTGAAAAGCTCAATTTTGTATCTTTTGTCAGTGACAACTCTGTACAAAGTCTCAGGCAAGGAGACCTGCTTATGGAAAAAAGGCTGTTCAGGGCAGAACTATACTCCATAACAAGTCAAAACTTGGCCTGATGTTAGAGAGTAGCCTTATTATTCTGCACAATATTCTAGAATTTAAATATGGATAAAAGTTTCCCATACTGAACTGAGTAATATCCAAAGTATGACTAAGGTCAGTTTTCTTTCATGCAGGTTTTTGGGGTTTTTTGTTTTTGTTTTTTTTAATTGCATGAACTTCACAGGTGCTGTGTTTATACAGACCCAGACAGTGAATACAAGCTTGGCCTCACACATAGCTTCTACTTAATTGTGTTGTGCTTTTGGAATTGAACTCAAAACCTGCAAGATTCTTTGCTCCCCTCCTCCACCCCAAAAACACTTGCAAAAAGTAGTTTTGACCCACCGAAATACTGGTATTTACATGATAATAAAAGTGAGGACAAAAAGAAGTGGGGTGGGGGGGAATAGGGAGGAAAAAAGGGAGAAAAAGGAAAGGAAAAGAAAAAGCTTTGAACACAGTGTAAGGTATGTATAAATGCTTCAGAAATTTCATCTTTTTTACTTTTCATGTCCCAGAAAAATTCTAGGGCTGGATTGCACAGTATTCCAGGGGTAGAGTGCTGTGGAAAGTGGTTAGCTGTCTAAATTAAGTAGTCTGTATAAGAATACCTGGAAGTGACTCCTGAGAACTGAACCACTGAGTCGCAGTACGATTTCTGTTTTACATTCAGACGTGTTTGTGGCTAATAAACAGGATTTATCCCACATGTAGTTTGGGAAATAAATGAGTTTTCTATGTACGTACTTGCAGTTGAACTTGCAGGATTTCATCTGCTTCCAAGCTTAGGTTTCCTGCCTTACATGCCATGCATAATACAGTACATGGTAAGAGAAGCCTTTTTAAGTTTTATATGCTTGGAGAATTCATTTTTATGTATGTGTTTTGGTACCACAGACTTAGTATGAATTCTTTCATGACAGCAGGTCAAAGTTTAAAATGTCAGTCAAATTACAAGACCAAACATTTCAACCAACTGATTAATTATATCCTTTTCTTCTACAGTTAAGAAATTAGCTCCTTCAGAAAAGTCAAATATCAAATATGCATAAAGCAGACGAGCAAAAAATCTTACGTGCTTGTTTATTGCAAGTATTTATTTCAAAATTTTTTAGAGCTATACAGAATAAAAACAATCATGACTTTGCTACTACAGTAGCTTGGTAACAGTAAGAAATCTGATTTATTATTTTTATTTCTGCAGCAAAATTTCAGGATGCTTCCAAAGGCTGCATTAAATGGCACAACAATAAGGAATTTAATTGGATTTGTATTCGAACAGATCAAAGTGGACTGGACAGTCTCTGCCTGGATTACTAATTATCTTTTCATGAAGCTTAAAAAAAACAAAACACAACTAATTTCCACAAGCCAGACCATTAAAATTCATCTCCAAACATAGCTCTCTTCAGATAACAAAACAACTAGCACATGGTGTTTTCTACTATAAATTGCTTGCAGTTATGATAAGGAAAGCCAAAGCCATCTCTTAGAAAAAATGCACCTCTTCCACTACCATCACCCCACCACCTAATTAGGGAATGCCCTTGAGAACTAATTGCCTCTCTGAGCCTCTCACTGGGGCTTTAGATTGACAGGTACTTTTCCGTTTACCGAAAAATTTTCCATCCCTTCCAAACTAGAACTAGCTAATAACATGGACAAAACATTCTGAACACAGGTTTGCACTCTGACAACAAACAAAGCTGTTGGCCGCGTGGCATCAGTTGTGTTTGGTGGGTAGGATGTCCCTGTTCATTAACCATGATATATTATGTAGTGCGGATCAACATCAGAGATGCTTATCGCTTGGCACAGCCAAACCTTTGTTCATTTCTGTACTTTCAAAAACAAAGACAGATATCTGATCATAAGATCTTGAAAAATTACCCTAATTGAGGGACACAGAGACACTGAACAACATGAGGCAGCAAACTTCATTTACTGAGACATGAAATTCCTTGTCCTTGTGAGATGGGAGAATGAAAATATGCCTTTCCTCTGTCTCCTTTTCCAGTGAAAAAGCAAGAGAAGGAACTCCAAGCCTTTCTCCCAATACAATCCAAAAATCAAAACTAATTTGTTAATTCTCCTGCTGTTGACACTTATTTCATGCATTTTTGCTTTATTTTTAAAAACTACTATTACAATTTGTGGTGAATTTAGAGTGTGACATGCATACACAGTATTCCATGCACTTTGTACACTTTTCAGGACAAGTGTATCTCTGCCATCCATGACCATATTACTTCAGACAAAACAGTTTTTCAACTTATTAGAGAGCAAAAATAATCTTGAGTCATGACAGCAAACTGCTTGGAGCATACCTCCTCCTTTTGTTCACCTGTTCTTCAGTTTGCTTCAAAGTCAATCGCTAAGGTTTACCCAGCTGGTACTGACCATCAGAGAAACATTAGAGCCTCTGAGCTGTTTATGCTGCTACCATGCAGACAAGCATCATGTACATGCCTAATTTTGTGAAGGACAAGCTGTCCCGTGGAAATCGAAGACTACCAAGTGCAGCCTTTCTTATGCAGTCAGATTAAAGAGGGTGGCATGAAGCTCAGCATATGCTTCAGTCTCTGCAGCATCCTGAGACAAGACAAATGAGCTCGTCAATAACAGAAACAAGAGAGTGACAGATTCTCAAAGGCAATTCAGGAACCTGTATTCAAGTCCTGTTTCCAGATATGCCCAGCTACCAACACAGTCGTGATTTTCAAGCACAGGACATGAAGCTCTTTTGAAAATTTTGCCCAATACAGCAGAGAGAAGGAGAAAGGAGTAAAAGAAGGCGGCTAAGGGGAAGGTGCTCTCAAGGCAGAGTGGAAGGTATTGAAGTGAGGCTCTCTCACTTCTTTTGCAGCTCTGCTGAGTATCATCATCTTCATAAGAAATCCATATAAACATTGACCTCATTAATGTTTATAAATATGTAAAGGGTGAATGTCAGGAGGATGGAGCCAGGCTCTTCTCAGTGATGCCCAATGGTAGGACAAGGGGCAATGGGTGTAAGCTGGAACACAGGAGGTTCCACTTAAACTTGAGAAGAAACTTCTTTACGGTGAGGGTGACGGAGCACTGGAACAGGCTGCCCAGGGAGGTTGTGGAGTCTCCTTCTCTGGAGACATTCAAGACCCGCCTGGACGCCTTCCTGTGTGATCTCATTTAGGTTCCTGCTCCAGCAGGGGGATTGGACTAGATGATCTTTCTAGGTCCCTTCCAATCCCTAACGTTATGTGATTCTGTATTCTTTTATTTTTATTTTTATTTTGGGAGCCTGCCAGAAGCCATGTGAAGCAGACAGCACCCCAGCAGAGGCCTGCAAAAGAAGCCTAGGTAGAAGAGCTGCCAGGAAGGGCTGGAAACCAGGCATGAGATGGTGGTTTCTGGGCTGAGGAAAGGGACAAAAACCAGCAGCCTCAGATCAGGTCTAGGTT